CAGTGTAGTGTTTTTGCAAAGTGCATTATTAGTGTTTTTTCTCTTTTCAATCCAAGATAATTATATCAAAGATTCCCAGTCTAGTGTTCTTTGACTAGTACTTTTCTTATGATCCAAGACTATTGTATCAAAGATTCTAAGTTAGTATGATATTCTTGCAAAGTGCATCGCTAGTACTTTTCTTATTCTGGTCTACGATTATTAATTATACTGAAGATTCGGTTCCAGTATATGTTCTTTTAAATTGTATTTTTGCTTTTAATCCAAGACTATTAATCAAAAATTCTAGTATAGTTTCTTTCAAATGCATCTGTTGGTGCTTTTTCTTTGGTTCAAGACTTTTTTTTATATTGAAGATTCAAATAAGTCAGTGTAATCCTATGTATTAAAATTTATAAACTTTGTATATTATAATAAGAATCTTATTCTGATCTAATTATTGTAAAGATTTTAGTATGGTGTTCTTTCAAAGTGTATTCGTTAACACATTTTCTTCTATTCCAAGACAAGATTTAGGCATGGATATTCTTGCAAAATATATTGCTGATGTTTTTCCTCTAAGATCAAAATCCAAAGGATTTAACATGGTGTACTATAATGCTTTTCTGTATAACGGTAATTACAGTATTAATGAACATTGAATAACTTATTTTAAATATGTACATCAATATTTATAATCATCCACTAAATTAACAAGAAATGAACTTTAAACAAATTAAGTTTTTAGGCTTATGCTAAATTAATGCAACAAAATGTGATTAGTAAAAAATGTAAATGTTAGTAAGATAAATAGTTTGTTTTTAATTACTAATTGCAAGAGTTGGTAACTTACTTATGGGTTTAGTAAACTTGAATAGTTCACTTTAAACACAGATTATTTAATGCTCTTTACACTTACAGGCTTAATTAATTGACTTTTGAAATAAAGAAATAAAACAAATGAAAAGTAAATAGTAAATTTGAATGGCTTGGTTTAAATACAAACAGGAATAAATATAAAAAGTAAGTTAGCAAATTTGAATAGCTTGTGATTTGACTGGTTTATTTATGGCTATAATAAAATCTAATAAAAGTGTGAAATTTAATAAGCTTAAATAATTTGTTATATTTACAAAATTTAATGTTCTTTATACTTACAAAGCTCAAACAAATCGAATATAAAAGGTAGAATTAGTGATTTTGTATAGCTTACTTTAAATAAATTAATGTTCTTTATACTTACAGGCCTAATTAACATAAAAAAAAAAATGAAATTGAAGAGTATAAATATTGTTACGACCTTGTTTTTGTTATTTAAGGTGCGCGTAATCATTCATGTATTATAGTACTACTATTAGCAGTCAAATTTGCAGTCTCAAACCACCACAATGATCGAGGTCGTAACTCATATGATATTTCTGTATTCTGATTGGTCAATAGGCCAGAGATACATAAGTTATATATCTCTGACCAGAGATGCCTATAATTTTCCATAGTAAATATACTGAAGATATAACTTTTGTAGTTTAAATTATATATATATAGTATGTTTATTTTTTTATAGCATTTATTTATATAATGTATAGTTTAAATTATATTTATACAAAATCAATTTTTGTGGATTGTAACTCAACCTATTTAGTAGATTTAAATTCTTATTCATTAAATCTCTATATACTATAAATTTTTTAAACCAACTGAGTTATAAGAACATCTATCTTGTCTCATAATGTATTTGAAAGAAATCTTAATAGACATTATTAAACTCTTATTATATAATATTATAATAAAGTTCTTCAAGATTCATTAAATACAACTATTAATAAAAGAGGTGTGGCAACTTAATATAGTAATCTAGTCATTACTCTCTTCAAGTAGCAGGTCTAGAGTTCAAATTCCATGAATGACAAATTTTGAAAAATAGGCTTGTATTATGGTTAATGGTTATGATTATTGGTTGGATCTTAGATAAATTTGTAACTTCAGTTACACTGTAATAGAATTTTCTTTTTCTTTCTTTTTCATAGTTATTATTATTGTATTTTATTAGTTTATACTAGTTTCTTATTATTCTTTATTATTATTATTTTGAGTATTTGATATTTTTTCTAAGTTTTTCTTATATTTTATTATAGTTATTTTTAGTTAGTTATAGGACAACACATTCAAGGAGGCTTCTAAACGTCCAAATACTATAATTAGCCTTGTAGATCATCATATTAGCTACACAATGATATGTGTTTTATTTTTAGTTAATATGTAAGTTATTGAGTAATGCATTGCCAAGTATTGCTAAAAATAACTTAGCTTGGCATTTTACTCGGTATTGCTCGGCGGGCTTTATTGGTGTTGCAGGCAATTCTACTTGGAATTTCCAAGTTGCCAAGGCCTTACATGCGTTTTGAATAGTCCAAAACATTGCTGCAACACATAATAGTTCTAAAACCAATAAAATATTGGACTAAAAAGCTATAAAAAGAATAGCTTTTTGTCCTTCTAAAAAGCAGTTCTCTTGCTACTTTAATTTCTTTTAAATAAACTCATATTTATCTATTCTTATCTTGATATTATTACCAAAATTATTTCTTTTTCCTATTTATTTTATGTTTTTATCTTTTCTTTTAATAAATTCTTTCTCTTTCTTGGAATAATATAAAGTGAAAGCTGGTTTCGAAAATAGTATTTTGGCAAAATACTAGCTTATATTATTCGGAATTTAAAGGTCATACATAGCCGTGGACGGTCTGATTGTTAGTGCTTCTTTCTCTGGTTATATCTTAGGATATTTCTAAGTTTTAGTGGCTAGCATATCCTAGTAAAAGGCAAGTAATTACTATGCCTGACTCGTACAAACTAACCAATAGGTTTAACCCCTCAAACCCTATTGTCTATTGATAACTTCTTATAGTATTTTAAAGGCTATTGAATTTAAATTCCATTATACAAATTGTTTATTTTCTTTCTTTTTATTATTCTCTTTAAATAAAAGATAGTCCACTCGACACTCGTGACTTTAAAGCTTGATAGTTTTTAGTAAATTTTACTACAACACCATCTAGTAATAGAAGCAATAGCACAATAAAGCCGAGGAACCAGAATAACTGAAAACCTATTTGAGAAGTCTTGAGCTAAGAAATAGTGATAATCTACAATAGTACTACATGAGGGCTGAATTCAAACTAGGGCCCGAGATTGGGAAACCAAACAACCAGGTCCTAATAACAAAGAACATACTAGCTGAACTGCTGAGTTCTGTCACACCAAAGAAAAAGGGTATATGCTTCGAAAGTATATACCAAGAGGAGGGCGTCTTTCAGGTATCTAAAGCCTGAGCAGACTAACCTTTCTGGGTTGCTAGCTAGAAGTAAAAGAGGGACTGATAAAGAATCCGAGTAAGAAGACAGTACCAAATGTGGATATTGGAATTGTTGTGAACCTTAATAAAAGCAAGAAGTAGGTAATAGTTGACTAACTTGAGAAGGTTGTGGCTTGAAATACAGACCGAGTTATAGCAGTATCCTAAAAGATTGCTTGAGGTACAAATCTGGTGATGGCAGCATGACAGGTACTAAAGTTAGTTACAATGGGTTTAATGGTTAGCCCTGACCCTAAGTGTATAGATCAAGCTGTGGTATAAAATTACCGAAGTCTGGGTAAGGCACATGAGTGGGACAGGTGTCTTAGCAAATAGACAAGTACAGCCTTCTATTGATCTGGAAAAAAACTCCCTAGCAAGTTAGGAGCCAAAGGAGAGGTAAATCAGTAGCTAAACAGTTACACATAGCACTTTAAAGCAGCCATGTAATACTTTACGCATGAATGAGGAGTATAGTAGGACCCCGAAGAACTCTAATACAACTTAGATCTAAGTTTGTATAAAGTTCATATAACTTTAGCCAAATACAGTTAACTCCTGCTATAGTCACACCCAAAATAGTCATATTTTTTTGAGACTATATACCAATCATTTAAATTAACTCTTGCTATAATCACATAATGTAACTATTATTATGTTTCTCTCACTATAATCACATCAAGTTTTTGCTAAACAGTGTGACTATAGTGGGAGTTGACTGTAGATGTATAAAATAGAGCAAAATTTAAAAATTTACTATATAAAAAAGCAATATTTGATGATTTTCTATACAAAATTTCTTTTTTTTGTAACATATACTGTAAGTTGTATCAGAGTTCTTTGGGGTCCTGGTATAGTGGTCTGGAAACTGCAACACTGCAGGGGAGGGACCCGGGATATATAAAAATATATAGACTAGGCTGCTATACTACTTTGTAATGTACTTAACTATTTAGATGTAATAAAGTGGTTATCATTGAAACAAAAAAAAATAACAACTGTCAATTATTAATTGACTTTGAATCAATTTTAAATTAATATACTAGTACTTATTAAATTGAACTTAAAATTTTTAACAAAATTAGCCAATTTAGATTTCTGTTAATTTATATAATTTATACAGTACTAATTTGAATTAAATATTTTACTTATATATAATTTTTTTTTTATTACTGCGTCTTTAAATTTACAATACCTGTCGAAAATTCTTCAAATTCTCTATTTCTCCAAACACAATATTCCAAAAATTCTTTTTAAAAACTAATTATTATATCTATTATTATCAGATATATTTGGTTTCTTCGGTTATAAAAATCATATATTACGCAGCGTATTAGATCTCACAGTACTTTTATAATATTTTATAAAACCGGTTGACTGAATTTTATCTTATTGTATAATATCTCCGGTTTTATTAAACGTATTAAATAAATTTCATATTTGAATTCAGATTCAAATCGAATAAAATCGGGTTTAAAATCGAAGACCGAATTCGGTTTTAAACTCTATAACTGATAGACGGAGGTTTTTCGAGTGTAGATCGGCTAATCTAATAGCAAATATGAGTTAACAATATTCTATTTTTTTCTGATGCACAAACTTACTACTATTTAAAAAAAGCTAAACATTTTGCTTTATTAATATTTTTCGGCCATATTTTTCTATTCTATCTTAATAAGTTTTGAACATTACATATGCATTTTGAACTTATTTTCTCTTGTGATTGTAGCAGTCGCACAACATAAGAAGCTACCCTTCTTACATCCTCCATATTGCCCATAAAACTACAATAAAATTCATTAGATATTTCAAGTTGTGCGGATTCAATTGGACCAATATAGCGAATGAAAAGCCATGCCATTCCAGTTGTTACAACACCAATTATTGGCATTGTCTCAAAATCTGTTTGATCAATTTTTCGTTTTTTTAACATCTAATTATTGAGAAAAAATATACGCAATTTTTAACTCCTCCATCCAAAGGAAAGGAAAAATTAAATCAAAACATTACCTCGGCCGCACTGTGCATTTGTGCTAAATTTTGAGCGATACCTTTTTCGGCTTCCAATGGTTTTGCCTCCATTATTAAGATAAAATGTTTACATAATAAAACTGCGTAATCTAAAGGACTGTACCCATGACTTCCCTTAATATTAACTTCTACCATTAATTTTGCCGTGGCGTCATTGTTTTCCTTGACATGATTAACTGCATTGACCAGGATGACCGAAATGAACTCACGTGTTGTGGCTTCGTTGACGTTAACTTTCTCAAAGACATTTTTTTTATCCTTAAGCTACTCGACAAGTTTGTCTAGTTCTTTATCGCTAAGTGGTGGGGATGATGATGGAAGACACTCCATATCAAATTTTTTTTACCTCTGCATCGAGAATACCGCTTTTATAATGATAAATATTTCGTAAAACTTCATCGAGTTTCCATTCACTATTTGCCTTTCTGTTCTTGATTCGAACTTTCAAGTCGCCTAAGTCACATTCAACTCCATCAGAACTAGGATATTGAAATAATATGCGCTATTAATTATACTATTCGACTTAGGGTCCTCAAAGTAAATGCACATTCATTTAAATCCCCAAACAGTGCCTTGGCCTCTTTTTGTAACAAATTAAACGAACCACTAGAATGTGGAATTATACATTCTTCTTTATTGAGCACGTGACTAAGTTTCACAATAAACTGTAAAGAAGATAAAATATCATAAGATTTAAAAAATCGGTTGTATTTACTTACTAACAGAATTCGATAACGGATAACGAATAATGAGTGGCTTTTCGTCTGTTACTTTCTCAGCTAGTTCCTGCAAGTCACGTCCTGGCAAAATTTTTTCTTTATCACTATCTAGGATTGCTGCCGCAACAAATTTGGACCGGCAGATCCTCGATTTTGATTGGCTAACGGCCGAGGATCTTCGAAATTTTGGCCCACATTACAAAATTGGTTACTAATTTCCGGCCGGAATTAACTTTTTAATTTTTTTATTACAAAAATAGAAATTCTTAAAAATAAGCCCGCATTATGGTAAAATTGGCCCAGGAACAATTTTCATTTAATGGGCGGCTATGATTTCATTAGTAAAATTATGAGTAATTCCAGCCTAATCTTTTTTTCGTCGCTCTTAGCCAATCAAAGTCGAGAATCTGCCGGTCCAAATTTGTTGCGGCAGCTATGGTTAATATATCATGCCTTTTAATTCTTTGAACTGTTCAATGAGAATTTTTTTGAACCCGTTCAAATTTCTGACACGAGTTATATCAGCAAACAACTCTACAGGATCCTCTGCACCTTCAAGCTGAATCCACATTTTTTACTATGGAACTTGGACAATGTTTGCTTGGGCGTTCTGTATCCCCGTTAGTCATTTTTCTTGACTGCGGATATTACCAATTTAGGTTAATTTGAATAATAAGAAATTATATAATCAGATAGCGATAGTGCAGTCTCAAAGTTTGAGTTTTTTAAAATTCGCCGTTAGTATATATCAATATGAACCAAAAAATTATACGAGTTACAACGTTAAGATGCAAATGAAATAATTTATACGTTGATAATGACCCTGCCTATCCGAAAACCAACCCGTGCCGGCATATCTGAAATTTGTGTCAGGTTTGTGGCGCAGTTAGAGGGTTAAAAAGAGGGAGTTTATATAGTAAAATTGTCCAACGAACTTTTTGTTAGAGCACTAAATAATAAGTGATTTTTGTTAAAACGAACGCTTGTTTGAATTTTAAGTAATATGCGCCACAATTGCGCCACAAACCTGACACACATTTCAGATATGCCCCGTATATATTATGCGATAATCGAAATTTTTTAGATGGCGATTTTGATTTGCAAACTTAGTAAAGTCGGTTTCGAAGAAGTTGAAATTGAATATTCAACAAGTGCACACGTGGTGAGTTTTCTCATGAAGTATTTGGCGAGTTATAATGTATCCGAAGTTACGATACCGCGTCGGAGTAATGAAATCTGATTGAAGAATTGAAAGCTCTTCGTGGCCACTGTTTCGACAGTGAACGTTCTTCTCAATCAGTTTCCGATGTTTCTATTAAGGAGCTTTTCAAGTTGACACCAACTTTGGGTGAGCTACTCTGCGCGCGTGATTGTGATGGCCTTCAAAGGGTTAATACCACTTGGGGTGAGCTAATCTGCATGCGTGATTGTGATGGCCTCTTTAGTAGTGTTAGATAGAGAGGCACCTGGTAGGAAGTGGTGAATAGGATGCGTTCTAATATTGAATATTCATTATTAGTTAATGATGATGACGCGAGCAGGGACGGTGATTTTCTGCGGTGGTTAAGACTAAATTCTGCATGCGGTTAAGGTAAATTCTGTGATTTAATGTGA